ACTGACGCTGACGAGGAACACGACGACCTGAACGGACAGGCGAGACAGGACGCGACGTAGGCTCTCAACGCTCAGCAAGACCTCCTGACTGCTCAGTGTAAGGAGAAGGAGCAAGCAGGGGTGAGCCAGGCTGAAACGAAAGACCAGTAGACGACGGGAGGCTAAGAACCTGGCGAAGCACGGAGGCAGGCGGTGGTAGAGACGACAGAGAAGGCGGAGCAAAGAACAGGCGTGGCTGTGCAGCACCACCAGCACGAGCGTCTCCAACACCCTCAGTAGCTCCAGCCCCCCAAGCAGCTCCAGTACCTCTAGCAGCTCCAGCACCCTCAGCAGCTCCAGCACCCTCAGCAACTCCAGCACCCTCAGTAGCTCCAGCACCCTCAGCAGCTCCAGTACCCTCAGCAGCTCCAGCAACCTCAGCAGAAGCACCCCCAGAACCAGCACCTCCAGTCCCAGGGTCACCAGCCTCAGTGCCTCCAGCAGCAGCACCCCCAGACCTAGGGTCTCCACCAGGAGTACCCTCAGGCTCAGCAGCACCTCCAGCCCCAACAGCTCCAGTACCTCCAGTACGAGCACCTCCGAGACCAGCACCACTCCCAGCTCCAGTAACGGCAGTAGAAGTACCTCCAGCAGCAGAGCCCCGAGCTCCAGAAGCGTGACCCTGACGGCGAGCGTACCAGTCGTGCAGCTGCTCTGGGGTGAGAGGTACACGCGCACAAAGATGGGTACTCCAAGGAGACCGCGGAGCAGCAGTCTCAGCACCCCCAGACTCAGCACCCCCAGGCTCCGCACACGCAGGCTCAGCACCCCCAGACTCCGCACCCCTAGGCTCCTCACACGCAGGCTCCGCACCCCCAGGCTCAGCACCCCCAGTCTCAGCACCCCCAGGCTCCTCAGGCTCAGGCTCCGCACCCCCAGGCTCAGCACCCCCAAACACAGCACCTCGAGCAGGACTACCCCCAACAGGACCTCAGTCACCAGTGACCTCCACAGGCGCAGGCACGTGAGGGTCTACCTGAGAAACACCTGAAGGAGCAGGACCTGGCGCGGGGAGGGGGTCTACCTGGGGAGCACCTGGAGCGAGAAAGAGCGGGGGGGGGGGGGGGGCGAGGGGCAGTGCGGTAGGGAAAGAGACGGTAAAAGGGGACGGACTCGTCAAAGGTGACGTCCTGAGACGCAAAGACACGGCGTGTGGCTGGGTCGTAAAACTGCCAGCCAGGCGCGTCAGGGACAGAGCCAAGGAAGACGCAGGGAATGGCGCGAGGGGAGAGCTTGTCCGCAGTGGTATCACGAACAAAGGCACGGGCACCCCAGACGCGGAAACGCGACGCATCGCCAACCTCCCCCGTCCAACGCAGTGTGGGCGACGTCTCTGGTACTGAGACACGGAGCCAGAGGTTGAGCTGACGTGCGGCGTACCTGACCGCAAACGGCCACAGAAAATGGGGGGCAACCGCATGGATCATGGAGGTACGAGCGACCTCCATGACTAAGCCAATGCGGCGCTCAGCAACCCCATTCTGCTGCGGAGTGGCTGGAAGCGTGAACGTCTGGCGGATGCCGTGCTCCGCACAGTAGGCTGCGAAGAGGTCTGAGGAGAACTCACCACCTCTGTCAGAGTGCAGACGAAGGACAGGAAAGTTCGAGTGGAACCGCTCGCGGAGCTGGAGACGAACAGCGCGGATCCAGGGGATCAAAACATCAGGGACGTCCCCCTTGCGCTGCAAGGGGAAGACCGTGGTGTAACGCGTGTAGCCGTCGACGACCAGCAGGAAGTACCGCTCGTGGCCCTGTCCACGGACGCGGGCTGGGCCCCACACGTCCAGGTGGAGAGTCTGCAGCGGAGTCTCTGTGGGAGGGAACGAGGAGGAGTGAGGAGCGGTGCGCTGCCGCCGCGCGACACAAGGAATGCAGGGCGGCGCAGGCGAGGGAGGGAGGGCAGGGAGAGACCTGGGAAGGCCAGAGACCAGGAAGCGAGAGTGCATGCTCCGAAGGCGAGGCAGGGAGGGGTGACCAAGGCGGTGGTGCCACAGGAGAGTGTCGTGCGACAGCAGGCGACACTCACACTGGGTAGCTACCTGAGCAGACGCGTACAGCTGGGGAGACAAAGGGGTGTAGCGCGACGCAGTGGTGAGGGTGTACAGACTGGACCCAGGCGAACGTGTGAACGTGGCCAGGTGGCGGCCTGTCCGGGAGCACGTGCAGATCGCCACACGCTATCCTCCAGGAGTAAAGGTGTCAACCCAGTGATCCTGAAGGACGGCGTTGCTCACCAGGTTCGTAGAGAACGAGGGGAGGTGGAGACCTGACAGCTCACTAGACGGGACCGCCGGACACGGAAGCACAGTGGTGGACCGTGCAAGCACCGGGCCCCCAGAGGGGTCAGCCAGTGAGACAGGGACAGGACGACGAAGGGGAGTGACTGTGGTGCCGTCACGAAAGAAACAGCGGGAAGCACCAGAGTCAAGTGTAAAAGTGTGCAAGGCCTGAGCAGACGCAAGGCCTGAGCGGACGCAGTACCAGGGAGAGCAGACTCACTAGCACCTAGGGCTGCAGGCGCTATACCTGGGTCTATACCGGGGTCAGGCAGCACACACAAGTAACAGTCACCCTCAGCACTAACAGTCAATGCATACATGGCAGCAAGGATTACATCATAATCAAGATCAAAGATAGGTACATCACGTCTAAGCAGATCTGCCCAGTTGTGGAATTCAGCAGCATCAGGAAACTTGGCGCGCCAGGCGTTGCTGAGCCAAGCGAAGCAGCGGTACTCAGTGTGAAAGCCGTTGAATGGGCGACCCTTACGGGGACCAGTGAGAATGACATAGGGGCAGCGGCCAGGACCCCCAGACGCCCCACGCCCGGCATACCAGTCATGGAGCTGCTGAGAAGAAGGGGTCTGGCGCTGCTGCTGCTGCTGGCCACCACTGGAACTCCCCTTATGGTTGGTTCCACCACCGCCCCACCCACCTCCTCCACCCCCACGACCACCCCCACCACCGCCACCACCCCCGCCGCCTCCACCACCGCTCCCGCCACCGCCACCGCCACCACCCCTGCCACCCTTGCCGCCCCTGCCACCGCCGCGCTTCCCACTAGGAGCGGAAGTCGCTGCAACCTTCTCAGCACCGAGGAGGTCGGCTGCAGCAGCAGCTGAGGCGTAGGAGGGGGCAAGAGGGGAGGGGGAGCACCCCTCAAAGAGGGGAGTGCGTGGAGTGCCACGGGCAGCACCTACAGCGAGGATGTTCTTCTCTGCTGCTAGGAGCTGCTGCTCGAAGTCGGCTAGCGTGATAGTGGTAGGGTCCTTGGCGAGGAAATGGTCCCTGACCGAGCTAAGAGTGTCAGGGAGGCGAGTGACGAGGATGTCGAGGGTAAATTACAGCGGTGGGGTGTTCGTGGCTAGGAACTCGTCGGTAAGAGCGGCACGAAAGCGGGCATCACTAGCGCGGAGGTGAGAGATGAGGTCCTCAGCGGTGGAAAACGAGGACAGGTCGGGGAACAGGTAGGGCAGGATGAGGCGTCCTACGGCTGCAGTGGCTGGGGAGGAATAGTGCACAACTACAGCGTCATACAGCGCCTTAGCAGTCTTGTGCTGACTAAAATGCGTGCGCTCAGTGATCGGCAGGTGGTTACGGATAGCGAGGCGCGCAGCAGCATCGCGAGTCTGCCACTGTGAGCGGTCAAGAACAGGATCAGTGGCAGTAGGGGCAGCGGTAGTGCCTGACGCGTGATCGAACAGAGAAACGCCGTCTTTGGCATCCGTCATAAGAAATAGCTGCAGGTCGTCAAGCCAAGTGGCAAATTCTATCGGGCGACCGTCAGGCTCAAACACGAGAACGTTAAGCGTCACCATTACAGCAGCGTAGGCAAACGCAGTAGACTACAGCAGCTATCAGGCTCACAAGTCAGGATGGTGCAATGGATGCAAGGCGCAAGGCAGGCAGATAGGCCAGCAGACAGGCAGGCAAGCCAGCAGGCAGGCAGGCAAGCCAGTAGGCAGGCAGGCAGGCCGGCAGGTGCAAGGCACGAAGGTGCAAGGCAAGGCAGTCGCAAGGCAGGCAGGCAGGCCGCAAGACTCAAGGCAGGCAGGCAGGCTGGCAGGTGCAAGGCAGGAAGGTGCAAGGCAAGCCAGGCGCAAGGCAGGCAGGCAGGCCAGTAGGCAGGCAGGCAGGCTGGCAGGTGCAAGGCAGGAAGGTGCAAGACAAGGCAGGCGCAAGGCAGGGCAGCAAGTGCACAGGGCGAGGCGGCAGCGTGCAAACAGGGCAGAGTGCAGCAGCGACAGGCTGCGCGGGGCTGCAAGCTGCGCGCGGCTGCTGGCTGCTCGGGGCGACGTGCTGCGTGCGGCTGCAGGCTGCGCGCAGCGGCGGGCGGCGGGCCGCGCGTGGCAACGGGCTGCGCGCGGCTTCAGGCTGTGCGCGGCGTCGCGCGGCAGGCTGCGGGCTGCGTGCGGCTGCAGGCAACGGGCGGCTGAGGCGGGCAGCGCGACGCACTAAGCTGCAGCGGGCCGTTCGCGAGGTGCAGCAGTGGGGCGCGCTAAAAAAAAAGAATTTTAAGGGGCGCGCGCAACCGAGGCGCGCGCGGGCAGCAGGCAAGGCAGGTAAGGCTGTAGGGGCAGACAATGGTGGGCCCGAATCTCAGGTCCTAAGGACCTATTGCTCTAGTCACCATGTTAAGAATACTAGGCAAGAATGAGTAGACTAGGTCAAGATGGGGGTACAAGGCTAGAATGTCGAGAGAAATTCTGTACCCCCTAAAGCTAGCCCCAATACAGCCTAACTTACAATAAACATTTAGTTTGACAATATGTGGGGTACAGTTGTAAGGGTTAGGTATTTTTTGTACCCCAACACATTCTAGTCACACCTTTTCCACCTGCGTAACTCTGAGAGTTGTCTACTTTAGAGGACACTCAGAGACTAAAACGAAGCGTAGAAATTCCAAGCCATACAAACAGTAACCTAAAAATAACCACTATCATCTTTCGTCCGGTGCAAGATCTAAGGTGGCAAGTGCAGCATGCCTTTCTTGTGTAGGGAGGTGCAGTGAGGGCAGAACCACTTGTCGTGGATCCGGGGCATGGCGATGCTGAGTCCCACACACTCGTAGTGGAACCACTCGCCTCCCTCACACTGCAGATAGGAGTGGGGGGGAAAGGTGGAAAGAGAAGGGGGAGGTTGAGTTAGGTTGGCGTTATTTTCCCAATTCCCCCACACGCTTGTTCGTAGTGAAACTACTCGCCTGCCTCGCACTGACCTGAACATGTATGAAAAATATTCACTTGCGTATTCCCTTGCACATTCACATGCACATGCACATGTACATGCACTGCACATGCGTATCCACATTCACAATCACACCAACAGCAAAAAAAAAAGGGCATGTGAATGTTCACAATCCAATCCCCATGCATTCCAAAAAATGCACATCATGCATGTTCCTGCGATAAAAATCACAGATGCAACTCACATTTGCATTATCGCATGCGATCATGTCTCCAAAAGACACCTGGCAATGGCACCATTAGTGTGGGTGGATAGGCAGTAAGTGGAATAGAAACGTAGAAGTGTTGAAAAAGGTGGTACTGTGAGAAGGAATCGGCCATAACTGAAACCGGGGGTTTCAAAGGAAGTTGAAACGGATAAAGAGGAACAAATGAAGAAAGCACACCTGCCCCCATATGAATGGAAGTTCAAACGGATAAAAGGCAGTAGGAGGAACTTGAAGAGTTTGATATGAATACAGAAACAGGCGACAAGGGACGGAAAGGGAACAAGAAAGCACACCTGCCCGCATATGCAGTACGTTGGCTCATACACCTGCTCTCCTGCCCCCCCCTCGGGCACCTCCCTCCTCTCGCCACCTGCCCCCACCGGCACGCCCCTGCTCACCCCTCCCTTCTTTCTCGAGAGCGGGAGGGCAGCAGGAGGCGGCATGAGGGCAGCACCCCTTCCTCCCCTCTCCCACTCCCTCTCCCTCCCTGCATCCCTCCCTGCCTCCCTCCCTGCTTCCCTCCCTGTTTCCCTCCCTGCTTCCCTCCCTGCCCCTCTCTCGCTCTCCCTCTCCTGGTTTCCTTGCCACGCTTCCCCCTTTGCTTCCCACACCCCCCCTCCGCCACCTCCCCCCCCCTCCCCACCACTGCCAGATGCCAGCACAGCCACTGCACTCAACCCCCGCCCTTCCCCCTTCGGTTCCCCCCACCCCCGCGCCCCTCCCACCCCTGCTGCTGGGGAAGCAGCTGGGGCAGCAGGGGTGCGACGGGGGGTGACGTAGGGGGAAGGGAGGTTGGGGGAGGGAGAAGGGGTGCGGAGGGGTGTGGTGGAGGTGGAGGAGGAGAGGATCCGACGGTCAGGAACGGGTGTGAAGGGATCATCCACCATGAAGCGTCCGTCTGTTGGATGAAAGGGTTTGGTGGGACAAGAGGCAAGGGGACGAGCAGAGGCTTCTAAACATTCCAACATAACCGCATGCAACAGACAATGGGGTCTGAACTGAAGAAACTGGATTTCAAAAAAAAAAAAAAAAAGAGGTTTTCACAAGGATTTACAAACAAACAAACACCCTATGATTGTTAATGTGTTTCAAGCAGCAGTTGCTGCACGTGAAGTCCTCACTCACCTTGCTTGAGGTCCTCCGAAAAGTGCTGCAGCTCCTGGTTCAAACTGCGCAGGTGGCTCTCCAGCTGGGGTGGAAAAGCGAAGGAGAGGAATGGAGAAATGGGGATGCAAACGGATAGACACGGGAACACAGAGGGACAGGCAAGTGCTGCAGCTCCTGGTTCAAACTGAGCTGGGGTGAATGGAGGGGGGGAATGGATCAAAACACAGAGGGAAGCGAAAGTGGTGCAATTTCTCGTAAAGTGTGCAAGGGTGACTCTTGAGGTGAGGTTGAAGGGGAGCGGGTGAGTGGAAAGGAAGGGGTGAAAGTAGGAAACTGCTGCTGCTGACTGCCCTGAAACCAGAGGGGAGCGGAAGGAAACAGAAGAGTGCACGCGCTGTAGCTGGGGTAATTCTCGAGCTTGGAGGAAAAGGAGAGGTTTGGGGGCCAATGGAGAGGAAGGAAACCACAGAGGGTCAGGCAAGTGCGGGGATTGTCATGACCATGTGGTGATGTCATGGTCTATGTGCCATGTGGTGCACCATATGAAAAGGACCACGCCCCGCTAGCTACTCACTGAGGCACTGACGACCCATGAAGATTTTTGAGGCGCCTAAAAAATCGTCTCAGTTTTGAGGCGCCTCAAAAAAAATGCTGGCATGCACCATTTGAAAGGGGCAATGCCCCTCTACTCACTGACCCATGACACTTTTTGCGGCGCCTCTAAAGTCGTCTCCGTTTTGAGGCACCTAAGCAATCATGGTCTCATGCACCACATGAGACGGACTATGCCCCTCTACTCACTGACTCATGACTAACACCACACCCTACTGTTTGACCCACCCATGCCTGCACACGCACACTCACCATGCCCTGACCTGACCAACCATTCACTGGCCCATGCCCAACCACTCAACAGAGCGCTCACTTGCAAACCTTAAACCTGAACCCTACCCCCCACGCTCACCAGTGCGCTCACTTGCTGTGCCAGAATGACCTTCTCATCACACAGCGCCCGCATCTTCCCCTGCTTCTCGGAAATTTCCTCCCTCAGCCTCTGCAAAGCAGCAGCCCTCTCATCGCTGATGTCACCGCTGACATCATCCCGTCCATCCCTCCCCCTCCCCTCCTCCTCCAGTCCTGCCCCTGCCATACTCGCTCTCATCCTTGCCGCCCTGTCTGTCTCCCCTCCTCCATTGTGTGGGCTGCTGCCTCGCGCCATGCTTGGAGCAGCAGAAGCAGGAGTCTCAACCACCAACCTTCCCTCAATGGGAAGCTCTGCCTTTACCACCGCACACTCATCCTTGCTTTCCGCCTCCTGCTGGAGCACCTGCTGCTGCTGCTGCTGCTGCTGCCCCACTTGGTGTTGCTGTGCGCGCGGCCTTTTCTTCCCAATGCTCTTCCGCCCCCCACCCTCCTCCACCTCCTCCTCCACCTTCACCGTACCACCCACCCATTCCTCCCCCCCCACGCCCTCCCTCTCCCCTCTCCCTCTCTTCCTCGGCCTCCCCCTCGGTCGCTTCTCCCCTCCTCCTGCCTCATTGTCAGCCTTCCCTGCCAGTAACCCATTCGGTGGAAGAGACGACGCGTTCGCCACCTGTGCTGTGCTGCTTCCTTGCTTCAAACTCTTCTCCCCAGCCTCAGTCTTCATCCCACCAGCGTCTCCCACATCCCCCGCTTCCCCTCCTCTGCTTCGCCCCTGCTGCTCACCACCCGGCACCTCATCCAGAGCACCCGTGGCAGGAGAGAGGGCAGCAGGGGTCACAACAGCCCCATCACTCTCGTTGTCACCATTACCAGCATCCTCAGCAGCATCGCTGTCACTAGCAGCATCGTCCTCGTCCCCTTCCCCCTCCCCATGCCCGTCACCATCACCATTCCCATCCCTATCACCACCAGCATCTGCATGACCATCCAGACCTTCATGTCCATGCCCATCTTGAGCACCAGCACCTGCTCTGAGGACTGCCTCCCTCTCCTCTATGGCTGTCAGCCCCGCCCGAATGTCTCTCTGAATCTCCATGCGCAGCGCTGCGGGTAGGGAGAGTCGAACGAGGGAGGGAGGGAGTGGAGGGAGGGAGGGAGGGAGGGAGGGAGGGAGGGAGGGAGGGAGGGAGGGAGGGAGGGAGGGAGGGAGGGAGGGAGGGAGGGAGGGAGGGAGGGAGGGAGAGATTCAGGATTTATCATTCACGGATTGGAAGGGGAACAGGTGAGTTGGTGAGTGGATGCGAGTGGGGGTGAGTGGATGAGCGAGGGAGTGGAAGGGGAGAAATAGAGTAGACGAGAGAGAGCGAAAATAAGACATTTGAACAAGAAGCGCACCCAGTATTGCCAAATACACACCCCTTGGCAACAACGATGCAGGTTAGCACCTACCCTGGCATCGGCCGTCCAACTCTCTCATGAGAGAGAGCATGCGCTGCAGCTCATGGGGCAGTGATGACACCTCTGTAGGGTGGGGGATAGGTGTGTAAGAGAGAGATACAGAGAAGGAATGAGACCTCTGCGAGTGGAAGAGAGGGCAGCTCGAGAAGAATCTGGGGAGGGATGGTAGAGGGGGAGGGTGAAGAGGAGTGAAACAGAACGGCAGAGCATGGCGCAAAGAGCATGTGTGTGGAAACCAACGGCATGCGCGAACAGAAAAATAAGGCTGGCGATAAATGAGGCTGGCCACATGTTATAATCTCGCTTTTATAGGTTCACCTCACATAGAATCACTTCCTTTGTAAAACCGTTTCTTCTAACATTACATCCCCTAGAATCGCATTGCCTGCGGTCAAATCCTCCCAGAGTCCATCCATTCCAGGTTGACTCATGTGCAATCACATCCGCTCAATCACATCCGCTGGAATCACATCCTCTTGTCTCGCCTCACCTGTCAGGAAGTCGTCCACATATACGCCGGTGCGCGTCGCTGCCATCCCCCCACCACACTACACCGAACCGCAACGCGCCTGCTCTCTTTCGTTTAAAGTACTGTCGATTCAGTCACATGTCAGCCCCTTCGTCCGCGTCTCACTCTCCCGCCGCACGGTGTGACAGAATGACTACTAAGCTTCGCGGAGGCCTGCGGGGAAAGTAGAAACTAGCGCTGCCAGCTAAACTAGCCGCGACGCGCGATAGTGGCGGCCTCGGATTCCCGACGAAATACAACCTCCGCGGAAAAGCATCGCCGCACCTAAGTAACAAGCCGTAGAATCCACTGATTTGTCTCATAGGCTGTCTAAATAAGAAAACTCAGAAGGAGCGAGTCGCGCTTCACTTGCTGCGTCTTGCAGGCTACGAGTGGAGAGTGGAGCGGCTGGGTGGTGGGACATAGACCGCTTTGCACCGTCACGCTTATGTTTTGAACCGTAAATACCTCTTGTATAACCACTCTCAAACGTCGAACTTTGGCAAAAGTTGCTCTCAAAAGAACATGCCCTCACAGCAGGTAGATTCTGCCGATTGATCCCAAATCTCCCGATTTTTGGGTGGGAACTAGGGTTACCCGGAATTCTGCTTGTGGACTCAACTTGAGCCTCAAACATAGATTTCTGGGCCGCTCGTACCACCGCTTTACCCTTTCTCTACCAGTTCCTCCCACCGTCCTAAGATATTTTCCGGCCAATCTCCATCCTACACGATCTCCCGTGGTGCCGAATCTTGTCGTATTTCACGCTCTAGAGTCGCCGAACCACTCCTAACAGAGTTCACATCGGGCTGTACTTTGAAGCGCTCCGAAATCCCGTGCTTTTCTTTCTCAGTCCCTTTGGCGCGTGTCAGCGGGCCCGCATGGTGTACGTCGACACGTGGGACGAGTTCGCGGAGAAGGCGGAGGTGCTCTTTCGAGCCGACCCCTCCAAGGTCGGTTTCGGCTTGTGCACGTAACCAAATCCCAACCCGTAACGGTGTGATTGAGCGATCTACTTGTGCTCGGCGTGCACCTTCTCTCAAAGCACGCGGCGGCTCGTCAGAAGTGGCGGTTCCAAGCAACGACGCAATTGAGGGCAGCACAGGAGCCCGCTGGAGCTCCACGTTAATCCGCTCTGCCTCTCTTCCCCCAACCCCCCCGCCCGCCCCCCTCCTTCTGGCGCGGCTGGTCGGCAGCTCTGAGGCAATCCGCTCCTCCCCTCCCCGCCCACCCGCTCCGCCCTCCCCCCTCCACCTTTCCACAGTTCCGCCCTCCCCCCTCCACCTTTCCACAGTTCCTCCCTCCCCCCTCCACCTTTCCACAGTTCCTCCCTCCCCCCTCCACCTTTCCACAGTTCCTCCCTCCCCCCTCCACCTTTCCACAGTTCCTCCCTCCCCCCTCCACCTTTCCACAGTTCCTCCCTCCCCCCTCCACCTTTCCACAGTTCCTCCCTCCCCCCTCCACCTTTCCACAGTTCCTCCCTCCCCCCTCCACCTTTCCACCGTTCCGCCCTCCAACGTTCTGCCTTCCAACGTTCCGCCCTTCCCCATTCCACCCGCTCTGCTTGCCCTCTGGACGTTAGAGAAGCTGCTCGAGCAACTTCCTGTCCCCCCTCTCCGCCTCTCCCCCTCTCTTCCGCCAGATCTTCCCCCTCTCTTCCTCCCGCACTTCCCCCGTCTCTTTCCCCACTCACATGTGCATGCACGCGCACCCACATTCACATTCACATTCACACCCACACACACTCGCATCCCCTTCCCCTCCCTTCTCCACCTTCCCCCCTCCTCCCTCCCGCCCTCCCTCGAATGCTGCTGCCCCTGCCCCTCAGTTCCGCTATGTGAGCAAGTACCGCCACTGCGATGGCAAGCTGGTACTTAAGGCCACAGACGACCGCGTGGTGAGTGGTGGTGTGGGTGGGTGGGTGGGTGGGTGGTGGCAGGGCGAGAGGGAAGAGAGTCCGAGTCACTGTGTGGGGTACGGATGGTGTTTGCCTGTACCACAGCTGTGATGGCACGCTGGAGCTCAAGGCCACAGACAGACGACCGCGTGGTAAAAGAAGAGGAGTTTTGAGACGCCTCAAAACTCCTCTTTTTTCACGTGGCCACAGACAGACGACCGCGTGGCCACAGACAGACGACCGCGTGGCCACAGACAGACGACCGCGTGGTGGTGAGTGGTGGTAGGGCGAGGGAGTGGTGAGTCGGAGTGATGAAAGGGGTTTGCTAGTGAGTGTCATCTAGGGGTGTGTCCATGTTGTAACGCCATTCCATTCCATCTCTCCGGGTTTAGGGTTCAAAATCTTCCCTCCTTGCACTCAAGGTTTAGGGTTCTCCCATGCTCACTTCCCCCCCGGCTGCACCCTTTTAGTTCGGTGCGTGAAGGTCCCTCCCCTGCTCCCTCCCTCCCTGCTTCGTTTCTGCTTGGATTGGTCCTTTGGAGCCCCTTGTTCCTTCGATGCAGTGAAGGTCCTTTGTAGCCCCTTGTTCCTGCTCACCCTCCCTCCACTGCATCGCCTTGCGCTCAGATCAAACGCAGCAAGAGTGGTGCAGCAGGTGAGGGAGTGTTGGACGTCGCTCACCTCCCTCTTCTTGCACATTGCTCGCTGCTCACCCCTGCTTTCGCGCCTTCTCCCCCTCTCTCCCCTACTACTCGCTTGCCTACCCCGCCCTCATCATCCCTACTCCCCCTCTCTCCCTTGCTCCCCCTCTCACCCCCCATGGTGGCCGTTGCCCCCCTCCCAGTGCATCATGTTCTGCACTGGGAAGGGGCAACGGCCGCCATGTGTCTCGCCACTTCTAGTCAACGCATGTCCTTCTCGTCTCTATCGCCTTCTTCCCTACACTCTTCATTCTCCTACCTCTCCTTACTCTCCTGAATCTCCTAAATCTCCCCTCCCCAACCTTCCCCACCTCCCCTTCCCCCCACCCCCCCCAGCGCATCAAGTTTCGCACTGATCGAGCACATGATGCCAAGAAGCTGGAGCGCCTCAAAGTGCAGCCTTCTTGCCTCTTCCTGCTTCTTCCCTACTCTGCCTCAAAACATCTCTGGCTCCTCACCCCCCTCCCCTCCTCCCCCACTTCCCCCCCTCCCCCCAGTGCATCAAGTTCCGCACGGACCAGGCGCAGGACGCCAAGAAGATGGAGCGCCTCAACAACCTGCTCTTCACCCTCATGGCCCGCGGGCCAGACGGTACGAATACCACTTGCCACACATGCGCACACGCACACATGCACATGCGCACATGCACATGCGCACATGCACATGCGCACATGCACATGCGCACACGCACACATGCACATGCGCACATGCACACATGCACATGCGCACATGGTAGTGGTATCACGTGCCCACACACACACGCCAAGAAGATGGAGCATCTCAAACAATCTTCTCTTCACTCTCATGCATGCATGCACGTACATGCCTAAGGCCCTGGTGGTATGACACCTCAAAACCCGCTCTTCGCTCTCATGGCACGTGGCCACGAGGGTACGAACGAGCACGCACACACACACACACACACACACACACACACACACACACTCTCACACACACTCTCACACACACGAGTACATGCGTGCGCTGTGTTTTCCCTTCAGCATTTCTGCTTGTCGCGTTTCTCGTTGACTGTTTCCGTGGAGCCACACCAGCTGTCACGTCTTTCCGATGATACTTCCCTGACCCGTCCATGTTCTTGCTGCCATTTCTGTTGCTATCGCCGCAGTTGCCGTTGTTGCTGCTGCTGTTCCTACCACTGTCGTTGGAGCCCCACACCATCAGCATGCACACACTATTCCAGATAGGATACTTCTCTCTCTCTCTCTCTCTCTCTCTCTACCATGCTTACTCCTTTTCCCGATTTCACTTTTGCCGCTGCTGCTGTTTTCTCAGCTGTGGTGGAGTCACTCTCGTTGGAGCCCCAGCAGCTGGCTTGTCTCATCCATATATCCCCCACCCTCACCTTACCATGTTTGCGCCTCTCCCGCGTGTTGTTGCCGCTGCTGCTGTTCCCTCAGCTGTGGTGGAGTCACTATCGTTGGAGCCCCAGCAGCTGGCGTCTCAGCAGCAACAGCAGCAGCAGCAGCAGGCAAGGAGAGGGAGGGGGCGGCGGCAATGACCATATGCCGTGCCGTGGCCCCTGGCCCCTGGCCCCTGGCCCCTGGCCCACACAATATAGGGCGCGCGCTGCTGGCATCAAACAGAGCTGATTTCTGAGTAGATTAAGACTTGATCAGGGTTGAGATGCTCTGGAGGTGGCCCTCTTACAGGCAGTTTTGCAAAAGCCAGAAAGTAAAGGGCACATGTACACCTTAGGATTGTAGCAGTAGCATTATCCACCACGAGAGATTTGCAATTGTGGGGTCAAAATATCAATAGTGGTGGCTCGACGGAGAGAGGCTTTGCACAGTTGTGTGCCTGGTAGCTTAACAGAAGCTTACAAGTGGTACCAGATTTCAGACTGCTGATTCGTGATAAGAAATTAGAGACAAAAAGAGTGCACAGCACAGCACAACCAATCCCTGAGATCCACTTGACAAATAATGGAATCCAGCTTGCAACAAGCTCTCCAAACATCACCTGACCTGAGGAAGGCCAGAGCACCCTTCCGTTCCCTCCCACTTACCATAGAACCCTTCAACTGCCTCTTCGGACACGTGTGTCCTAGCAAACTGAAGGAGCAACTTCTAAGACAGTGGTAAGCATGTTTCTTAAGAATCTCCTAGTCTACTCCCTGATGAATTTAGTATTTCTGGTGGAGCCTCCCCTCCTTGCCTCCCCAGGGTCATGCTTGCCACTGCACACTCACAAACACCCTCTCTACCCTAACCTCTCCTCTCGTGCACAGCAGCAACTGCGACTCCTCCTCCCCTCTCCTAGTTCTACCTCTCAGCTCCCACCCCTTCCACCTATCCACCTGTCAACCACGTGTCACAATGATCATCTGCCCATCATCGCTCCCTTCTCTCCCCGCTGCTACTTCAACCACGGGTCAGGCGCGAAAAATGCTGCCCGAGCTTCAACCCCTGTTTGCCACCGCCAAGACACGATGGACTCGTTACCTCCCCCCCCCCCCCCCCCCCCCAATCTCTCCCCTCCCCACTCCCCCCCCCCTCCCCTCCCCTCCCCTCCCCCCGCGCTCCCCCTCCCCGCCCCCATGACACCGACCTGATGACACTGGCGTCATTGCCAGGGCGGAGGGTTTAGCGCGGCGCGGCAGCCTCAGGCGGGCAGCCACGGCGCTCGAGGCAACACCCGTCGGCACGCCTACCCAGTCTGTGCTGGAGGCGGGCAGTCATGGCTACGTGCCAAACACCCACCTGCAGCCAACCCAACACGCCACCCACGTGGCCGTCCCAGACTGGAGCCTGGCAACCACCTCTCGGTGCCAATGAACATGCTTTTGAAAGTTCCGTCGCAATGGTATTTGAACATCTGTGCTGCGCGACATGGCATGACATTTGAGCACCTGCACTGCGCGACGTGGCGCTGACCAATCCGGCGGTGGCCCAACGCCTTCACACACGCTTGTCTCAATCTTGGGGGGGAAAATGCCAACCTGATGGAGGTACGAGGCCCCATTGCAATAGGGCAGAGCATCACCCGCGTTGCATCACCATCGCGGAAATTTCATGTGCAAAAAACTACGAAAAAGTCACATATACGTGACCTTTACGATACTAAAACCAAAAAGTTTTTCAGTCAAGGTCAAAAGCTTCTTGGGCAATGTGACTGCACGCGCAACAAAAAAGTAACGAGTATACGTCCAGAAAGTTACGACGGAAGCGACATATATGTCACTTGCGAGTGACATCAAAGCAACCCAATCTCAACTGGCCGCTTGAAACGTACGTGCGTACGTTACACGTACGTTCGTCGAACGCCCCCTCTGACATATACGGCCCCGATTTTGCCGAATGTCAAGACTAGAACGGCGTGGATCACACCATCTCCCTCTCGACACAGTGCGCCATTCGCACATCAATCAGCCCCGCTCGTGTTCAATTCGCACGCTACCACGTTGGCCAATGAATCGGATGCATCTTCACCCTACTCGTGGCATTCGATCAAGCTGCAACCAACGCATATCTAGATTGTGATTGTAAAACGCGGTGCCAGGCACGCGCCCACCAGCTGGGCGAATCATGTGCGTTTCTTGCGCATGCAATACAAATCAGTTTTGGTTGGCATTCTAAGCTTGCGATAAAATCAGGGGCGTGTTCGAATATTATAACACATGGCTAATATACCTGATTGACAGAACATATACGGATAGCGAAGGACTTAGGCACACTAAGACTCTAGATTACACCGCAAGACTATCCAGATAGCCAAGTCTGGAATCCAAGGCATGTGGCTCTTTGGCTGACACTGCTGCGCTGCTGCACACACGAAAAGCAAACAGAAAACCACTATTTACAGTGTATCAACAAAGTTGAAACATAGAAGAAAAACTCATCTGCCACTTCATATGTACCTTGCATGCGTTCCCTGCTTACGATCATGAAAACGGAGTCACAGGTCAGAGGATACAAGGTCAGAATCCCAACCAATAGACCATTGGGATAAAAGGGCTTGTTAAGTAGCGGGTCAATGCGCCCATAACCCCCCAGGACAACGAACCTGTAACCCTTTCCTAGGATCAATCGGGGATCACCACTAGACCTCTGACACCCCCCCGCACTGGGATGCCCGAAGTGCACATACTGGGATTCGAGCCCGAGACCATCGCTCTGATACTATGTCAGAATGAACAAGAGTGAATGCATTAGGAAAGGGGTGGGTACAAGTGGGAAAACTTAAAACTGTTGTACCCTATAGGAAATACCCCACTATGGCCTAAACAGACTAGAGCATATAAGTTTGACACACCCCCATAGGCAAAGTGGGGGAGAGCAAGGGGTCACAAGACCAGTCAAGAAAAGCAAAGCAAGCTCAGGGTGGATCACAACGTCACCACACACTCTGAGCACAAGCAAAGGGCCACAAGGCCAGTCCACATGCAGAGGCATATATGCAACACAAACAGCACAGTGATCTCTACCTAGCAAAGCAAGCATGCAGGTATGTATATATATAGATCACACTACAAGCAAAGCCTACAGCAAGTGAGGAAAAGTGGGCACAAGCCCTAGCATAGTGCAAACACGCTGATGATCACCAAACTGAAGTGCCTTGGTGAATATATCAGCAGTGTTGGCCCGAGTGTCCACGTAACGCAGGCGAAGCTGACCACGCTGCTGCAGCTCTCGAGCAAGGAAGTAACGCAGAGCAATGTGCTTCGTTCTGTGCTCCAGTCTGTGCTCCTCACACAAGGCAATGGCTGCCTTGTTGTCGACGTACAGCACTGGAGGAGAACGAGGCTGCTCTCCAAGGTCGGTCAGCAAGTAGGTGAGCCAGCGTAGCTCCTGGGCCGCCATGGCTGTGGCGTAGATCTCAGCCTCACAACTGGAGCTGAGAACAGAAGAAGAGCGAGTAGAACGCCAAGAAACAGAACCAGAGCCAAGACTGAAGGAGTAACCCTGAGACGACCGCTGAGTAGCCTGGTCGTCTGCCCAAGAAGCGTCTGAGTGCCCAGTGAGAACAACTGGGACTCGCCCTCCAAGCACTAGCCCCATGCCCGACGTACTGCACACGTAGCGCAACACCCTCTTAGCTGCATCCATGTGCTCCTTCCGGTGACGGCCGGGAGCGACATAGCGTGCAAGAATGCTGAGAGGGTATGCAAGGTCTGGTCGAGTGCAGGTCATCAGGTACATGAGGCAACCCACAAGCTCTGGATACGGGCCACTCGGCTATACGGACTCATCCGAAGGCAGAGCTGAGAGCGAGTGACCGGTAGGCAGAGGAGTGGGCTGAGGCGAGGAGTACGTGAAGCGGAAGCGCTGAAGGACCTGCTGCACCATGTGTGACTGAGTCAAGGTGATGGTGCGGCGTGCTCTGTCCCGGGTGATCCGCAAGCCAAGATAGCTTGTCAGTTCACCCAGGTCTGTGCACGTGTGTCTCTTCTGCAGCTCCGACTTCACGTGGGCGAGTGCCACGGTGTCAGCAGTAGCAAAGACCAAGTCGTCGACGTACACAAGGACGTAGAACGGCGGTAGTGAGGTGTCGGTGCGTAGAAACAGCGACGGGTCAGCAGTAGAAGGCGCGAACCCAAGAGCCGCAAGCGTAGTCCTCAGTGTGTTGTGCCACTCACTAGGCGCCTGGCGGAGACCGTAGACTGGCCGTCGGAGGCTCCACTGGGTACCACGAGGGAACGACCCAGTGAAGCCAGGTGGACGGCGCAGCCAGATCTCCTCGTGCAGGCTGCCCTGCAGGAAAGCAGTGCTGAAGTCAAGCGAGTGGGGCTCGTAGTCACGCTGAGCGGCGACGTGCAGCAGAACCCGAAGAGTGGTCATCTTCGGGGTCGGGGAGAAGGTCAGGAAGAAGTCAACTCCCTCTCACTAACTAAAGCCTCGTGTAACGTAACGTGCCTTGAAGACAGGCGAAGAGCCCGGCGGCCGCTTCACCCTGAAAATCCACATGCCACTGACGATGTTCGCCCCAGGTGGGGGAACCTTGTCGACGTAGGTGCCTGTGGACTTCCAGGAAGTCATCTCTGTATCCATGGCTGACTGCCACTGAGAGGAGTAGGGACCGGCCATCGCCTCTGCGTAAGAGCGTGGGGTCGGG